ACTTGAAATTCAGTCCATGTATGGGCCGAAGTGGCGGTTGTTCGGAGACGGTCTTTGTATACTATGTAATGAAGCTTTATAGGTGAAGCTTTGAAAATGAAGCTTTGAAGCTAGAGCTTTTGTAAATGAAGTTTTGAAGTCGGAGCTTCTGTAACTGAAGCTTTTGAAGCTGATTGACATGAGTGATGCTCATGAATGTTTATGTTGATTGACATGAGTGATATTCATGAATATTGACATGAGTGATGCTCATGAATGTTTATGTATGATTGACATGAGTGATGCTCATGTATAATTTTGGAGTACTGGACGTACTTTTGATCACCTAGTTGGTGATAATAGCAGCAGGCTGCCGAATAATTTTGGAGTACTTGACGTACTTTTGATCACCTGGTTGGTGATAATAGCGGCAGACTGCCGAATAATTTTGGAGTACTGAACGTACGTTTAATCACCTAATTGGTGATAATAATTTTGGAGTACTGGACGTACTTCTGATCACCTGGTTGGTGATAATAGCGACATACTGCTGAATAATTTTGGAGTACTGGACATACTTTTGATCACCTGGTTGGTGATAATAGAGGGTGAACCTTAAGTAGAGGGATGGAAATTGGAGTTTGAAGCCATAGGGCCTGGCTCTTTTGGGCATATGGGCCTTCGCCCTCCAAATAACATTCTAGTCCACTATTTTGGGCTTGCCGACATTTTGCCATTTTTTTGTTTTTTTGGCATACTGCCTTCTTTCTTTATTTATGATTACACATCATTATAACTATATAATAATTGCTCCAATTTGTAGAAGACAACTTAATAAAACATTCATCAATGATAGTGGGTATGGGTGTGCCATGCTTTCCACTTCCTCCTCGGCTTTTCTCCATCTCTAGACATCCTTTCCTTTTTCATTATTTTCCTCCATTTTTCTACTTTTGCTTTCTGCTTTTGCTTATTCTTTTTTTTTCTTTTTTTTTTTCGTAATTCCAATGAATGAAGATGATGTTTATCCTTGAAAGGTGTACCAATATTTGATTCTGACACCACATGCCTCAAATTCTTTATGACTAAGCCTCCCTTTAATTCCTTAAGGCTCCCCAGCTCACCAAGACCAGCACTACCGCCCCTCCACAAACAATTGCTTTCTGCTTTTCTTTTTCTGTTGCATGGTCCACGAGTCCACCCTCAAGGCTCCATAATAATATTCTCCCATGCTACAATTTGTGCTTTCTTTAATAGCCTTAAATTGTTGGTGGACAAGATGAACAGTTGGTGCCGAGAAAATAATCAATTATTTGGAAAGTGGATACGTTTGGTGCCGACAAAATGAAAGGGCATCTTCTGGTGTGCTTGCCTTTATTGCACCTGATGGAGGTGGAAACGTTGGGCATAACGGAACTACCAGGGACGACGAGACGTGAACGGCTTGTTCTTCTGCGGTTGATCAAATTTCCTCACCAAGGACCAAACGAGACACACAGGGGCTTTGATGTGCCTGACTAGAGCCGAAGTGCACTGGTTTTCTCTGGGTACGTGCCTGTGGTTGTGCTCCCTCTTGCGTTCCCGATCTCGGTCCCGCTCGCGTTCCCTGTCGTGGTGGTGCCATTGCTCAGGATAAGACCAACCTAACCAATTAAACCAATTAAAAGATAAGCACTGGCCTCAGGAAGATAGTAGAATTTATGGCGGCGAAGGACATGGCCAAGGACGAAAGAGAGGACAAGCATTTTGATCTGGAGAAAAATGCCAACCCCAGCGACCTGCTGCTCATTCCCTGGAGTGGTCCTATTGGCATCTGCCGGAGATATCTGGATCGCCATTAGTTGGTGTTCATCCTCCATTGCCATTAACTGTCCTACTGCTGCTCAACTTCTTCCAGTGGCCGCACTTCCCCTCCATCCTCGAATCTTCACCGTCCGTCTCATCTGGGCCCTCCTTCAGCGGTGACAGCGCCTCGAGTAGCCTTAAGCTCCCGGATCTTGGAACCATCAGCAGCTCTGGCTGCGCCACGTGGTGGTTCCTCATCTGCCTCAATAAACCCGACATTGGGGATCGGCTCTGTGCCGAACTCTTCGCCCCCAACCTCCCCAGCGACAAACCCCTCGTCACCTCCTCCTTCAAAGCCTGTTTCTTTCCATTTTACAAGTCTGCCCCTCACCCAAAACTCTGTAGAAGATGTAGAAAGAATAGAGCTTTGGTTTTGGGTTTTGCATGGAAAAGTGAGAGAGTGAGAAGAAAGACAGAAGCTTTGGCGAAAGCAACTTCTGGGTTTGATTATGTCGGTGTGTTTAGTGAGGATGGAGTGGTGGTGGTTTAGAGAGAAGGCTGAACATAGCCATTTCTTCGGAGGAAATGAAATGAAAGGTTTTCTGAAAAAGCCCAAAGAGGGAGGTTTTGGGTTCTTCGGTTGCGCAGATTCACGGTAGTAAGATGAAAAAAATGAAAGAGAACCGACATATCTTTTCGTGTCAATTCCCACAGACGGCGCCAAATGTTGATGCACAAAACCGGGAAGTCTTGGAACAACGTAAATCCGACCGTGAATCTGCAAGAATGTAAAGAACACAAGATGTATCGTGGTTCACCCTAATGTTTGGGCTACGTCCACACTGATGTTGATATTGTTTCACTCTGAATGGTGAATATACAAGAAGACTAGAGGCAATGTGCTCTCTAGCCTATTTTCTTTCTTCCCATGGCCTAAGCCTTGCCCTACCCTAATGAGGAGATTGATGAGTCATTTTATAAAATAAGGGCTCCTCACTTATTACATATTTGCCCCTTCATTTATTACATAATTACATTTGAGTCCTCCGAGTATTTATACGGGGTCTAAATACGGTGACCCTAAGTATGGTACATACAAAATTAATTAATTATATATATACAAGCCCTTAGGTGTGGGGCTCATTCTATATCAAACTTCAACGATTCAAACTGTCTATTTTGTAAGTCTCGATTCATAGATCATCCTTGCAAAAATTCAATTCAATCCGAAGTCATTTGCCTATTTAATTATCAAGATAAAATTTCATTGTTTCATATATAACAAAGTATTTGTTAATTTCTTTGAACCCAATTAGATGTCTTAAACATTTTCAATTTAGCTAATATTTTGCAGGGATGAGTTATGAGGTGTAACTTGAAAAATAGACGGTTCGGATTAGGGTTGGGCATAAAAACCGTGGAACCATGAAACTGAATTAAACTGCGACAAAATAAACTATAAAAACCGTGTTGACAAAAAAAAGTCAACATAAGTTTAAGAATCGATCGAACTGTTCATACTAGTTCTGATTCCGGTTTTCATGTTAAATTAATAAGAGTGTTTTAATCTTTCGATTCTAAATTGTTAAATTAATAACCGGAATGGGTTTGGTGAGCTAAATTTGTTAGTTATGTGTTTGTGTTTTGTGAATTATGAATTGTTGATATGAATAATATTTATTAACTTTGTAAGGTTTTGGTGCCATTAAATTTTTAAATATTCTTCTATTGTGGTCCATCATTCTAATATAACAATATATCTACACAAAGAAGTTGGGAGAAAATTGGTCTCGAACTCACCATCCATAAAATTCAAACCTAAGCATCTCACTTACAAGTATCATCATATTAAGGTCAGTTTGGTGAATATTTAATATTGGGCCTAGTGAGGATGAAGGCCCAAGAACACAAAAAGCGAAGAGAAGATTAGGCTCGGGCAAATCGACGGCCCAGGAAGAATTAAAAACCATTTTTGCAAGGAATAGGCAACAAGCCTATGTGAGAAGTGATGGGCGATAGAGGGCAGCTCACCTCTAGCAAAAAGCACTTTTCAAGGGCAGGGATAAGTAAATAATTGGTGACTCACTATTCTCTGAGGGTCATCACCAGAAGGCAAAGCTTGAACAGTCTGGCTAAGAGGTCTATAAAAGCAGAAAAGGACACCAAAGACAAGGACACTCAACTAATTAATCAAAAGACATCCAACTTTGCTCTCAAGCAAGAAACTAGAAAGCTTCATTTTGTCTAGACTCTTACCCTTTTTAGTCATAGATCCTCCATAGAAAGTCATCTTTTGTCTATTTTAGAAGCTCTACTACCTTCCCCTAATGTTGTAGTATCGATTCCCTTTAGTAAATCATATTTACATCCCATTCTCCAAAGATTACAACCATTATAAAATACAAGGAGAAGTGGTTGCAAGAGGATAAACCTTGACCAAGTCTCTTTTGTTTGCATTTATATAAAGTAGATCTGCTGTTTAATGTATCTTCCATTATGTTTTAAATCAGTATTCAACTGCTTTTCGTTCAAAGTTTCATCTATGATCAAATTTAGCTAAACTAATGAACCATGCTTCTTTAAAGTTAATTGTACTAAAAGAAATGGTTGGAATGACCTTGAACCCCCTTGATTTTGAACATACAATATTATGAGTAAAAGTCATTGTTTACAAGGCAAGAAAAAAAAACTTTATATAGACTTAACTCATCTGTAACAATCCAATAAAATCAAGAAGTCTAAGTAACTTGTGGCGCAAGTAACCAACCCAATTCATAATAACAAAAGAACAATCTGTTATACAAAGATAACATTGGCATGCTCAGATCCATGTTAGCTTTGATTGTGAGCCTCAAGGCCTAACAAAGGCACCATTCAAACTAACAGCAAACTCATATTGCAGCACACCAAACAGCAAACCTTGCCCGACAGGCAATAACCCAAGGAAGCTGTGCGAGGGACAAATCTAGCTCAAACATGATCACGTTCTTCATTTGTATTAAATCTTGTCTCTCTCCCTTTCATAAATGAAATATGTCGTATTCTCTTTCAAATCTGAGTAACAACCTTTAAGAGTCCAGAAAAAGGATTGTTAACTCCTTAAAATGCCCAACACTTGGCAAGCAAGCAATACTCTGCATTCGAATGAAACCATCCATGCGACAAGGGTCTTAAACCCAAAGAGAAGGCAAGCAAGATAAAGAAACTTGAGGAGTCTGGAAGTACAAATGCAATACTTCGCAAATAGCTACCTGCCCTTTTCATATTCGAAATGCAAGTACCACACAACTAATTGACTAATTAAGATCCTGTTAACAAAGTCGGGAAGCTCTCCGAACTATGAACGGAAATGCAGACAAAATTATTGATCCAGGGAACAACGTTGATAACACTTGTCTCAGATTGAGGCTGTGCTCACACTCTTACAACACGATACTTCTAAGATTTTGTTTAACAATGCCAGGCAGTACAAACCCCTATATGGCATACAATACAAGGAGTTTATTGATAAAGACACTTAAGTTACAACACCTGCCTGTGTATGCGGCATATTATTTCCCTTGCATTCTCGAAACCATTTGCTCCGGCTTCTGTCCATCAAAAGTGAAGATTTTAAGCAACAATAAAGCAAAGGATTACGAACGATTTCAACTGAATGAAATTTTGTGTAAAAAGGCCAGGCGGCACTGACAACTCGAGGGAGATGCAAGGACCTTATTGATAAAGGAAACATAAAGTATGGATCACCTGCTTCAGCTTGAGGCTGTGCGTTATCATTCCAAACGCAACCTTGAAACCATGTGCTCTGACTTCTGTAAATAGGAATGAAACAATGTACGCATAAATAAAGCAAAAGAAAAGGATATTAACTGAACTAAATAACGTGGCTCGGACTGATTAACATGCACTATGCAGTATTTCCAAGCGCAAGGAGATGTATAGGATGAATATACTTATTCAAGGTTCTTCAACAACTCTGATTCTATGCACTTGTGATACTGGCGTTGTCTCCCCAACCAAACTATATTGGTGTACTATAATAATGCCCTTCTATATTTCAAGGTTTATAAAAGTGCCCTAATTGAAAGAAAGAGTAAGAAAGGAATAGAAAATAAGCTCTCCAAAACTGCATCTTCTTGAATCAATTAACGACGTCAATGGGATTTTGCCGGTCTTTTTTAATTTATGCTTTCAGTTTGAAGGGCTTCATAGTCAAGAAGAGTCGTAAATTAGACACATATGCTTTGTTTGCTAGAGGGTTGGATTAGAGTGAAGAACCCTCTAAATTCAAGGCATATTGACGGATGAGCATTAGACATGAAGGAACTTCTCTTTCTAATCCTACCATTTTGGGGAGGATTGGAATGGATAAGATTTCTTCTTGAGTAATCCATTTCCTAACTCCAAGTTGGTCACAATTTTTTCATTTCCACCTTCAACATACCTTGACAATAGTATCTTATCCAGTCCAATCCAATGCTCAATACCAAACGAGGCCACAAAGCACAATTTGAAGATTGATAAAAAAACCACTTTACTTTTTGTCCGAGGCACTTAGGTACTATATTAACACTTAGGATGTAGACGATCGATTTGGTAAAGCTTTTCAACTATAAGTATTGTCCTAGATGGGACATCAAGTGTCCACTCCAACAATCATGAAGTACAAAAGGTAGCACCTTCCATAGCATGAGCTAACTTGTAAACTCATCCAGATTATTGGAAATCAACTCCAGTTGTGGCCCAAATTGTCACCCAGATTCCAAACAGAGGATAGAACTGTAGGCCTAGACTCTCAGTGACTTGGTCTAGAAATATACATGCCCTTGACAAGACAAATACGTACTACATTTTAAACAGGACCAGCCTTACTAGCAGGCCTTGAATTTTTCCAAATAGAATAAATGAAGGTCAGCATATCATCTAACCTAGGCTGTTGGTGTATCATTTCTAACTTTTAACTCACCTTATGGAAAAAAAAAAAAAAAAAAAAGAACAGTCAATCTGTCACATGAGCTGAATATTGTGCCAACTAAGATACGTCAAACTTGCACGCGTTAGTTTAATGTTGCTCTTTGTTAAATCTAAAGATTAGAGTTGATCATTTTCAATCATGAAGAACTATAAAAAGTTGAATATAAATTCTGCTGCTGAAATATCTTACTAATTCACTGCAGATTTTTAGATTAACTTTTCTGTTCAATTTCTATTTTTTACAAGTTACTATCAGAATAAGGCAGGAATAGCAACTGACCTGCTCAGAATGAGGTAAATATTTCCCATCAAATGTCAGGACTACCCGATCCTTGCCATCCACACCTTTAACTTTGTCGACTGAACAGTAGAAGTCTATAGCTGACATACTATCATAAAACGAGAATGTTTAAAGGTATTATAAATTTCTCTAGCCAGGTAAATTGAATAACACATAGTTGCATACAAATTTTACAACAGTTTTCTCAGCCACCAATCATACAACTATCACATAACAATCTCAGTGACAATCATCAACTACCAGTATGTCAAAATTCGTTGCAATTTCAGTAGCATTTTATTAAAATCAATACACAAAACACAAACTTACATTCCATCACCAAATTCCTCATTGACAATCTCCTTGATGCTTTCACCAAAATGCATAACTGCCTCATTCAACCTGCAGAATTGAAAATCAGCAAATGAAAGGAATACCAGCTAGAAGGATAAGTAACTTTGATGAAACAATCAGAGAAAGCTCGTTTGACTTCTTAACATCAAGATTTTCGTGAATCATGAAGGTAATAGATGTGACTATTGCAGCAGGTGTACACCTTCCAACGAACGATATAAACTTTGGGCTTGACCAAGAATCATATCGAGGTTGTTTCAAATCATTTCGTTGGCGTTTCGCTCCAGTTTTGCATTTTAAGTCTATCACGTCGGCTTTAAGTGTTCTCATACTTAAATAATATACCAATGCGATACGTTGACAACTCATACAATCCATTGATACCTTAAATAATCAGCCTCCAAAAATATATTGCAACGATGGGGAATAAATTGGTTCGAACTCACCGTCTACGAGATTCAAACCTTACACCTTTCGCTCACAAGTCAAGAGAAATACTACTAAACCAAAATGCTAAGGGGATAGAATCTAAATTCATGAGAAAAAAGTTAATTAAGGGGAAGAAATTGAGAAGACCTACCTGTAAATAGTGGGGTCCTGGATCAAATTAGGATCGTAGGACCTCAAGGGTGGAATCATCATCTCCTGAATGAGTTCTTGGGGCAGGTCGGGCAGGGCAGCCTGCAACTTCGGGGCAGTCTCAGGCTTGAGCTGAGCTTGGCGCCTGAGAAGCTGGGCAACATAAACGTTGGTGAGGCCCGTCTCCTTGGCAAGCTGGCTGTAGGACTTGCCGGACTTGTGCTTCGCGGCCTGAAGCTGGTGGGTTATGCTTGCTTTCTTCTCTGCCATTTTTTCAGTTTTGGGATTCTCTCTCAGTCCCTCTGTCGGTCTGTGTGTCAGTTTGTAGGCGCATACAAATCCAGTGAATGTTGGGTTTTGTTTGGATAAGTTTCGCTTTATTGGGATTTCTTTGAATAAGAAGAGGCTGCTAAAGGTTTGCTTCAATAATTAAAAGCGGAATTAGTGTTCAATTCAATTGAATTCCATTCGTCTCCACCCCACTTTGGAACATTTGATGGTCTATCAAGTTTGAAGTCTTGTCAGCATCTCCAACAAGAGCATGTTTTAAGAGGAGAAAGAGTGAATAGTTGGAGAGTTTTAATAATTCTTCAACAGTTTAGCAAATGTTAAAGAGCATTGCTGCATATGGGTAACAAAACCAAAACTCTACAACAACAACAACAACAAAGCCTTTTCCCACTAAGTGGGGTCGGCTATATGAATCCTAGAACGCCATTGCGCTCGGTTTTGTGTCATGTCCTCCGTTAGATCCAAGTACTCTAAGCCTTTTCTTAGAGTCTCTTCCAAAGTTTTCCTAGGTCTTCCTCTACCCCTTCGGCCCTGAACCTCTGTCCCGTAGTCACATCTTCGAACCGGAGCGTCAGTCGGCCTTCTTTGCACATGTCCAAATCACCGGAACCGATTTTCTCTCATCTTTCCTTCAATTTCGGCTACTCCTACTTTACCTCGGATATCCTCATTCTCAATCTTATCCTTTCTCGTGTGCCCACACATCCCACGAAGCATCCTTATCTCTGCTACACCCATTTTGTGTACGTGTTGATGTTTCACCGCCCAACATTCTGTGACATACAACATCGCTGGCCTTATTGCCGTCTTATAAAATTTTCCCTTGAGCTTCAGTGGCCTACGACAGTCACACAACATGCTGGATGCACTCTTACACTTCATCCATCCAGCTCGTATTCTATGGTTGAGATCTCCATCTAATTCTCCGTTCTCTTGTAAGATAGATCCTAGGTAGCGAAAATGGTCGCTTTTTGTGATCTTCGCTAAATTGCTCCGGTCATTAGTGTGGATAAGTATATAAATGGATAGAGATAGGAAAGCAAACAACAAGATGTACGTGGTTCACCCAGATTGGCTACGTCCACGGAATAGAAGAGTTCTCATTAATTGTGAAGGGTTTACACAAGTACATAGGTTCAAGCTCTCCTTTAGTGAGTACAAGTGAATGATTTAGTACAAATGACATTAGGAAATATTGTGGGAGAATGATCTCGTAATCACGAAACTTCTAAGTATCGGAGTGTGGTATCATCTTGACTTGCCTTATCTGTCTCATAGGTAGATGTGGCAGCTTCTCTGGAAGTACTCTTCCTCCATCCAGGGGTGGTATCTTTAACTGGTGGAGATGCACAAGGTAATGTATCAATTTCACTTGAAGCTTACTTGTAGTTTCAGGCTTGGTCAAGCGCGATACAAACCATGTAGTAGGAGTCCCCCAAGTCGCCGAGCTAGGGGATTTGCTGAAAGATGTGACAGACAAGGTAAGCAATCAGAGCTGCGGCTGATTGTTCACCTTCTTCCCATCTTGCAGCAGCATGAAGGATAAAGAGAAGAAAAATGAGAAGAGATGATATGGGATACTTTTGCTTTTGAAGAAGTAACTTTCCACAGGCTTATTCTTGAACTGAGCTGGAGGGTTTTCTGGTTTCCTCCAGAGTATAAGGCCGACTGAAGAATTTGAGGGTCAAAAACAAGTCCATCAAATCTAGAGTACGTTCGACCCTGCTGATATGGGATACTTTTGCTTTTGACAGAGTAATGGATGGATCGGCACGTGTGCTGTTACGCTTGTCTCCACATGCTTCCTTGTATCCTTCGCACTTGCCCTATCTGTTCCTCAGCAGCAGATGCGGTATCTTCCCTGGCAACATAAGATGTTGAAGATGAGTACTCGAGAGCAATGCCAGGTAAGTAATCAGGTAAGGGGTTCCAGGCTTGTCAGTTCCTGGCTGGGAGCTTGATTTCAAGTGCTGACTGATTGCTCTCTTTCTCCTTGTCTTGCAGGTAAAAAACAAGGCCAAAGGAAAAGACAGGGAAAAAAGCATGATATGGGATACTCTTGCTTTTAACCCTGATGATATGAGATATTCTTGCTCTAGTATAGCTTGTTTGCAGAGGTATTATCGGGGGGAAAGAAAGCTGAATATTTCGAAAGGCTTCGTTGGGAGTGCCCTCTCAGATATGAGGAAGGGTTGAGCATTTTTGCAGGTCTGCCTGTCCGTTGGGGATGGAGGTCGACATATATAGGAGTCTCCCTAACAACAAGTAGTAATGCTATTCCTTTACCCTGCTTGGTCATAGCATGGTAGTGGGAGCTGCCAGCTTCACATGTTTTAACTCTGTCAGAGCACTTTGAAAAAAGTGGTATGTGGTATCTGGCTCTCGAGATTCGGAGAACGATGCTTCTTCGATTTTTTGAGAAAGCAATCATGGTGGGGGTCTGGCTCTCGAGATTCGGGGAGCAGTCTCTTCGATTTTTGAGAAAGTAATCAATGTTGGGAGTCTGGCTCTCGAGATTCGGAAGGCGGTGCCTCTTCGATTTTGGAGTAAGCAATCTCTTGTTGGAGTGTTTTCTCGAATGTGAGTAAAGGTTGGGCATGTTTGCTAGTCTACCTTGCCACGAAGCATGGAGGTTGACACACATGGACTTTCCAATTATCCAACAGTGGTACTGTTCCTTTACCCTTGTGGGTAATAATATGGTAGCTAGACCTTCAAAATTTATGTGTCTAAACTTTGTTAGTGCTGTTTCTTTGCTATTCTTTTACCTTTCTTGGTCAGAGCGATGTAGTGGGAGCTGCAAGCTTCACGTGCTTCACGTGCTCAACTTTGGCAGAGACTTTGACAAAGTTATCTGTGGTACCCATGAGCTATTGTTGCGTGTGGGAAGTGGGTGATTGAACAGTAAGATTCATGTGCTTTCTACTTCACCAGAAGTTCTTCGACAGAATGCCCATAATTTCCGCAAAGCTGAGTGTGCGTGTGACAGGTGCTGACAAGGCTAGAAAAGAAGGTGCCTCTTCGATTTCTGAGATCGGCCCTCGTGGTCTCTGAGCAGCCCAGCTTTTGAGAAAGCGAGCGCCTCTTCGATTGATTCGGAGAACGATGCCTTTTCGATTTTTGAGAAAGCAATCATGCTGGGGGTCTGGCTCTCGAGATTCGGGGAGCAGTGTCTCTTCGATTTTTGAGAAAGTAATCATGTTGGGAGTCTGGCTCTCGAGATTCGGAGGGCGGTGCCTCTTCGATTTTGGAGCAAGCAATCTTGTTGGGAGTGTTTTCTCGAATGTGAGTAGAGGTTGGGCATGTTTGCTAGTCTACCTTGCCACGAAGCACAGAGGTTGACACACAGGGACTTTCCAATTATCCAGCAATGGTACTGTTCCTTTACCCTCTTTTCGATTTTTGAGAAAGTAGTCATGTTGGGAGTCTGGCTCTCGAGATTCGGAGGACGGTGCCTCTTCGATTTTGGAGCAAGCAATCTTATTGGGAGTGTTTTTCTCGAATGTGAGTAAAGGTTGGGCATGTTTGCTAGTCTACCTTGCCACGAGGCACAGAGGTTGACACACAGGGACTTTCCAATTATCCAACAGTGGTACTGTTCCTTTACCCTTGTGGGTAATAATATGGTAGCTAGACCTTCAAAATTTATGGGTCTAAACTTTGTTAGTGTTGTTTCTTTGCTATTCTTTTACCCTTCTTGGTCAGAGCGATGTAGTGGGAGCTGCAAGCTTCACGTGCTCAACTTTGGCAGAGAACTTTGGCAAAGTTATCTGTGGTACCCATGAGCTATTGCTGCGTGTGGGAAGTGGGTGATTGGACAGTAAGATTCATGTGTTTTCTACTTCCCCAGAAGTCTTCGACAGAATACCCATAATTTTTCGCAAAGCTGAGTGTGCGTGTGACAGGTGCTGACAAGGCTGGAAAAGTAGGTGCCTCTTCGATTTCTGAGATCGGCCCTCGTGGTCTCTGAGGAGCCCAGCTTTTGAGGAAGCGAGCGCCTCTTCGATTTCTGAGATCGGCTTTCGTGGTCTTTGAGCAGCCCAACTTTTGAGAAAGCAAACACCTCTTCGATTTATGAGATCAACCCTCGTGGTCTCTAAGCAGCCTAGCTTTTGAGAAAGCAAACGCCTCTTCGATTTCTGAGCAGGCGCCTCTTCGATGTCTGAAGCTCCGTCGAGTGCAGCTTTTTTATAGGGGCTGGCATTAAGTTCCAAAGCACACTTGAATCTCCACCAGTAGAAGCTCCATTCTTGCACTTCTAAGATCTTGATTTGTCCGACCTCTTCTCTCTTCAAATACCTTTGAAAATGTCTGGCCCCTCCAACCGTCGTTTTTGACTTGAACCTTGTTGAAGAGGCAGCCCCGCCTTCTCCAGACAACATATGGCGCCCATCCTTCGTCTCCCCTACTGGTCCTCTTACCGTTGGGGATTCCGTGATGAAGAATGATATGACCGCTGCGGTGGTGGCCAGGAACCTTCTCACTCCCAAAGATAACAGACTACTTTCCAAACGGTCTGATGAGTTAGCTGTTAAGGATTCACTGGCTCTCAGTGTTCAGTGTGCAGGTTCTGTGTCTAATATGGCCCAACGCCTATTTGCTCGAACCCGCCAAGTTGAATCATTGGCGGCCGAAGTGATGAGTCTCAAACAGGAGATTAGAGGGCTCAAGCATGAGAATAAACAGTTGCACCGGCTCGCACATGACTATGCTACAAACATGAAGAGGAAGCTTGACCAGATGAAGGAAACTGATGGTCAGGTTTTACTTGATCATCAGAGAGATTTGTGGGTTTGTTCCAAAGGCATTTATTGCCTTCGTCTTCTGGGGCTGTACCGCGTAATGAAGCTCCAAATGATCAACCTCTGATGCCTCCTCCTTCTAGGGTTCTGTCCAGTACTGAGGCTCCGAATGATCCCCCTCCGATGCCTTCTCTTTCTGGGGCTCTCTACCGACTGCTGAGACTTCTCCTAAGCAACCTTTGTGAAGGCTCCATCTTGTTTGTTTATTTTGACTCATGTATATGTACATATTTGTAGCTTATCGGGGATATCAATAAATAAGTTTTCCTTCATTTCAACGTATTGTGTTAAATACACCAAAGCCTTCTTCGCTAAGTTCTTTGAATTTTCTTTTGTTGAAGCTTGTATGTTGAAGCTTTTCTGAGTGGAGCATGTAGGTTGGGGTAGTGTTCCCT